TCAAAGTTATAAACTTCATTAAAGGGGAAAACTTAAGTCTTATTTTTTTTTAATTAATAATTGCTCTACAGAAATCCTGACTTTATCAAAATACAATGCTGTTACTAGAAGCACCTTCATCGACATAAGCTTTCCAACCTACTGAAAATACTTCAGTTTTCAAATATATCAAAACCTAGGTAAAAGCAATCACAACAAAAATGTTGAATTGTTAAAATATGGCATTTTCCTGTCATAACAGCTGTCCTCAATTTATTCTTTATTTTGAAAACAAAGTTAGTTATTAGCCTGTGTCATTTATTAAAGTTAGACTAACCATTCCAAATTGTCAGAAGTTCCTATAAACCTTTCTACACAAGACAAAGACACAGCACTTTCTTGCAAACCAAAGCTATTTACTTTGTCAAAGTTGATTTACTCATTAACATGAATAACTCCCTGCAGATAAAAAATGAGTGCCAAATTTCTACTTTAACTTCTCAAAACTTCTCTAGGCCTACCAAATTAGAATCTGCTACATGAGAGTACACAGGACAAGTCAGATATGTAACAATCTCAAGATCCTACTAAGTTACATAGTTTCAGCTCCCTTTTAAATGCAAAATACTACAGATCTGCTGGCTAACAAGCTAACTTTTTTTTTTAATTCTGTTTCAGTAACCAGGCAACAGACAACTGTCCAACTGAGAATTATCTCTCTGAACAGCTGGCAATCAACACTTGGGAGGTTTTGGTGGCTGGTCTCTTTTTTATAAACTAGTACAAAGATCAGTGATTACTTTAAAAATCTATACAGCTCTAGATTCCACCTCTGAAATCTCTGCTCACTATTTAGTAATTTCCTCAGTCCCATTATCCTTGAATTACTTATATAAATGTTTACAACAGAATCTGAAAATCTTACATATATACTTATGTAGTGTCTAATTAGCTAATGTCAACACTTCAGAAAAAAAAAAAAGAATCAAGAAAAAAAATGAAATGCATTTATTGATGTATGACAAAGCCCCTCAAGGAAGCAGAACAACAAATAGCTAATAACTAAAGCCATTCTTGCTTCTAACTCCATTACTCTTTTCCACAGCTGAAAAAGCAGTATATCACTTCGACATTATTTCAAGTGCTGATTTTTAAAACATTTCTTTCCTTACTAGATTTTTTAAGTGTTATAAATTAACATGATAAACTCTATTTCTATAAAGGAAATAATAATGGAGAGCCAAGCTGGATATATTACACCTTTCTCCTTTCTAGTAGTTTATAGGAGTAATGATGCTATAAGATTATTAATTATAAATTCCTGTAACTTAATGTGTTACTTATACATTCAATGTTTTTGAAAGGTCTTTAAGAGTCAGAATAAGAGCATTTTCAGAAGGGGACTGGTGCAAAGATTAGCTAGACTATATCCCATAACACATGAATGATTTAAAAAAATAATATTTAAACAGAAAACATCTAAAAATAGAAGTCCCTGGATAAAAGCACAAAATAGGCACACAATATTTCATACACTGTCTACATGAGATGGAAGAGGAAACTTGCACCTTTTATATTCTCCAAACATTTATGTAACTACTAACTAGAAATCTGCTATAAGAACAACATATCTAATATATTTCTAAAACCAGTAAAATCTTATCCTCATTTAATTTTGCCTTTATTAATCTCAGCTCTTAATATTATCTAAGTACACCTATGACATCATATTCCAATAAACTGAAAAACACTGACCAAGTTCAAATTCACTCAAGCACCAAGTTCAGATCAGGCAAGATCCTGTTGCAAGATAAACATGATGTGATGTAACATAATTTTGTGCATGTGTGTGCATTTGTGAAAGACCGGAGCGGGAATGCAGAGAGGGAGGGAGAGAGTCTGTGCACGAGGAAAGAGAGAGACAGAGTATACAGCAGCGTTTGCAAGGGAGAAATATACATGGCCTGAGTGGCTTTGAGTCCCGTGCTCACTAAAATGCAGAATGAGAAACACATAAGCAATGACAGCTTCAGACAACAGAAATAATCTTTTTCTATTATTAAAAAAAAATATATTATAATAGCTTCAGAAGAGCCACTATCTTTATCAAGTTAGCTAAGTCTGTATTCAATTTTTAAACCAAAACCTAGTAGTCAATACACACTGTACTTTCTATGCAGAAGGATCAGTACCATTTAGTTTAAAAGTAGGGCATATTATGCCATTTTAATTTTATTTCTGCTAGTCTTGGGGGACATGCCTGAACAGAAAAGAATCAGAATATCCAAAGTCAAATTGCAGGAGTCCAGACAACAAGAAAAAGTCAGCGGGTAACCTGAAAAGAGAACAATAAATTGTGTACTCAAAAATAAAACTGTAGTGGACAGTAATATATTTGTATACTGCTTCCTATCTTGTAAACTAAAATGTTTAATGCAAAGCTGTTTTTTCCTTCAATTTCTTGTAATTAGAGCTGCCATATAATTCTTCAGTAATTATGTCACCTTTTCCAACAGAAATCAGTCTGCATACTGAAGTCCTATATCACAGAGGGAAAAGAAAAAAACACTATTAGATCATAGGAACTACTCGTAACTTCTGTATTACAAGCACCTTCCTCCCTTCCAAACAGGATCTTACTCACTTTTCTAAAACTTTTCGGAAATACAGAAAACTTTTATAGAAGCTTCAACGACAGAACATTCCACCGCGAAACATACATTAAACATATTTGTAATCACAAGCATCAGAGGTAAGGACTAAGCGGCATCTATTAGGAAAACAGTAATTGTTTAAAAAAACTTCATAAGAAAAATTAATCATAACTTTGTCTTATCTCTTTCACAAGGTTTGTATTTCCTATGTTATATGAGCAAGAGAGTCTGGAAGAAACCCAAAAGCCAACAGCTCAAGGAATGACAGGACCTCTGAAAATTCCATGGGCTGGTGGTCAGACGCAAACAGAAATACTAACAAGAGCTAGCCACGCTGGAATCCATTTCCCATCCCTGTTCCATGCTTTAGCAGCTATCAGTCACCAGCTTCCTTAAAGCACACACTCTCCCTATGACACAACGTGGCTGCAAATTCAAGGCAGACTGTATAAAGTCAAACTGGAACTTCATTTGCACCTGTTACTGTGAAAATGTTTGAGTGGCCCTGTCCTGGTTATTATTGCTTCTGATTTTAAGAGAGAATGTTTATGCCGCAAATGTTTTTCTCATGTCTTTCTAGCTTGAGACTTTTTATTTTTGAAAGGTTCTTCTGTTAATACTGCTGCATCTTTACAGTTTCCTACACAAAGTAAAAAAGAAATTCTGATTTAATCAGAAAATAGAGGAACTATACTAGAGCACTGAACAAAAGATCTAATCTTTGGAGCGTCCTTTCCAAGTGAGTGTAAATAAACTGTAGTAAAATGAAAAGGCTCATAATTTGGTATTTGGAATATTCTTCATAAACACCAATTTTCTGTAACATCCTTGCATATCTGATAACCCCTCATGTATAATGCAGAAAATCTATTTCATTTTCATCTATTGACAGCGAATTTAATTTACTATTGCAGCCCTTTACCCAGATTATGTTATTAATTCTGCAATCAGGCTCTTTAGAATACTTTATTTCTTTCAAGAGTTTTCACAATTCTACATTTGTTTTTTTTTTATCCTAACACACCTTTCAAAATAAAGGATAATGTTTTTCCTACCTTTCTAAAAAAAAAGTAAAAAAAGCTTCAAAAGCAACACACATCAGTTCATAAATTGTAACTTGCAACAGAAAAATCAAATCTACATTCAACATTTCAATCTCTGACTTTTCAGTATTATAAACTACATTCGTTAAGGAGATGTACAACAGGTGCATTAGAATTTCCACATCAACAATCATATTTGTAAATATCCAAAATATCTCTGTTAATAAAAAGTTACCCCCTTCTGCCTGACAGTAAAGTCAGAGGACACGAAAGCTCAATACTCCAATGTTAGTGTTCTGTTTACATCCATACCAACTGCTTTTGCTACTTTGTAGAATTCAGTCTCGTTAAAACAGAGTGAAGGCAAAGCAGCTATTATTTTCCAACAAAAAAAAGTCAGCAACAGCTAGTCAACTCAATTCTAAACCACCAGTTACTCTTCAAAAATAACAAAATCAAAACACAAAAGTGTCAGCTATGTTATTTTGCATCAGTTTTTAGAAAGTCCTTTAGAGCAAAGTCCAATTACAGAATGCTAATTTGATCATCTTGAGGAAAAAAATCCCCAATTATTCAACTGCAGAAGCTAAAATCTTGTCTATCATTATATAAGACTCCCTCTTCAGAAATCTTATAAAGGAGGAATGCTAATTCAGGTATTTATTACTGTTATACTCAAATATTATAAACTTCTCATGTGCACTAATACAGCTAACATAAAATGCTAATTTTTTAATTCATCCAAAGTATTTCAGTTTTATAACAGATTTTTCTTTCACCATCATGATAAACATAATATAAAGAATATCTAAAGAGCAGTACTTGTCCTCTTTACTTCACTCCAGAGCCAATGAACAAAGCAGTGAAGCAGAAAGAAGGTACATAATGGATTTAAAGTAAATGGCTCATTCTTTACAAGGCAGTCCCTCATTTTTACTCATTCTAGCTTAATTGTCATTATAATGTCTGGAAACTTCAAACGAACAATTATCTTTACGCCACCTGTCACATTGGTTCCTTAAAGCTAGATTTTTTTTCTTAACAAAAAATAAAGCAGTCAATGTTAATGAAAATAATATTTTGTAGAAATACTGTAAATTACTTTAAACTTATTTCAAGCAGTTAGTATCCAGTTCAGCCCATTCCATAAGTTAAAACAGACAGAACATTTATATTCACAATTGCACTTTGAAGCATACTTTTCTGAGACAATGCTTCCTGCTGCACTGGAAGCTTGACCATCAATATATCAAACACACTGAAATTTACATACATGCCTGAGAATTTAAAAAAAAAAAAAGAATTGGCTAATTTTTGCACCTACCTGGATAAAAATCTTTGGATTTAGACAGCTTGATGGTGGCCCCAGTCTCTTTCTGCAACTGAACAATTGTCTGTCCTCCCTTCCCAATTATAGATCCAGCAGCATAACTAGGTATGAGGACCTTTAGAAAATACTGGCCATCCTCTGAAAAATTGAGATATGCATGGTTAATATGGCTTATAAGTTGTCATTTTTCCTCCCCAGACCCACAAATAAACAAAAGGTTACATCTTTAAACTCCTTCACTAATTCATGCATTTATATCTAACCAGTTGCGTCATTATACAAGACATGTTTAGCCTATGCCTTTGACAGTTTAAAATATCTACTTTTATTCTAAGCAAAGAACCCACAGAGGTTCCTTAATTCAGTTAAACAATAATATTGCAATTAAATTTCAAAGGTAGATTTTTTTTTTTTTCTTTTGCAATGGTAACCACAGCATGCAGAAAAGATCAGACCCCTTTAAAAAAACTAAAGCCCTGCATGAAAACGTGGTTAGTGACAACTACAACCTTGCTTGGAAATACTGCAAAAGAAATTACAAAACCAGGAAAGAACAAATTGTAAATTCTAATGGGCTATTTGTTTGTCATTAGCAAACACATGAGAACAGCAATTAGCTATTGCTTGCATTCTTCTTAAGTGAGCAAAACGACTACTCTGCTACCAAATAACCCACCCAAAATGTGGGGTTTTATTCCAAGCATTTCAGCCACTGCCAAGAAAACAACTCAACATAGTGAGGATGGAATCACTTGCCTAAGTAATCCTCATGTATTCCTTTAGCACTTCTTAAGTGACAATGATCTCTTTTAAGCTCATTAATTAAAGGACACTAAGAAGAATTTTTCCCAATTGATCAAAAGCCTAAGTCACTTATTTTAAATACACTTAAAAGGTGACGAGATAGACAATGCCAGTCCTCTACCCACCACTAGCACTAAAGCATACCATCAAAACAGGAAAAAAATATATAGAATGAACGGAGGGGAGAAAGAAAAACGGATCCCGGTCTGATTTGGAAACTGCAAAATTTTCAGTACCCTCATGCAACTGCTAAATCCAGCTATACTGTAGTCTGAGGACCTTTCCATAACTGTCTCTGAAGAAGTGCAAGGCAACAGGGATACGCTGGCTCCCCAGACTTGTGTTCTCCCCAGCAATTATGGCAATGTCCCATTGGCACAGCTATCAAAATATCAAGAAACCTGTTCCATAAAGTTGGTTCTTTGGGTATTTTTTTTACTCCTAAGCAGAAGAAATTAATCTGAGTTCACAATACTTCTCTATGACTATAAAGCATCTCAGTTAGTGCCTGTGTGTGACAGTGGTGCCCACCCGTACTACCATAGCTGGGGAACCATGCACTATGTATAGCCAGACCACTGCTCTCAACATTGGGCAAATAAATTCACCTCTGCCTCGGTGCATTGTTATGACGACTCCAGCGCAAACGGGGAAAGGAGATGCTGGTCCCGTTATAACTCATCTCCTCCAGGAACAGCAGGATGTTAACTAGCGAGTCCCCGTAGCCGAGGGGCGACTCCCCCCGCCACCAGCCAGCCCTCGCCCCCGGCTCGGCACGGCAAACACACGCCGTGTACGCGCTGACAATGGAAGTGAGGCCAAGGAGGAGGAAAACGCACGGCAAGGCTGAAATTCAACTTGCGACCCCGAGGATGTGGAAGGAGGGAAGAGCTTTTGCCGTCTCTTTCCAGCTGCCATTTATTGTCGCCCATCCTTAAACGGGCGAGGGAGATAGCTGGGCTGCGGGAGCCCCTTGTGCTCCCTCCTCGCCTCCGTAGGGTCACGGCTGTGCAGCCCCAGCGTGGATATTAAATAAAAAGACTGGTAGATGCTGAAAACCGACGCCATTTTGATGAATGATAACATTAGAGAAATGGGAATCTTTGGGCGGGGGGGGGGGGGGGGGGGGGGAGGTGGGGGGTTGGAAGAGGCAGGCAAGCAGGTAGGGAAGCGGAGAGGTGGGTGGGTAGGGCGGGGGGGTGGGGGTGGGAGGGAGGTGACAGAGGATATACCCACCGCCCGTGTTGGTCCTCTTGGTGCTGCCGGCTTCAGGGGGGGCTTCAAGCGGTCTTTTCCGGGAGTCCGGCGGGTCCAGGTCTATGGGAACCCCGGTGTGGGTCCCGTTCTGCTGGATGGGAGCTGCCGCCATCATGTTTGCTGCTGCTCGGAGGAGAATTGTCTCTTCCCTTCTCTGGTGGGGGGGCAGGGAGGGAAGGGGGGAGGAGGAGGAGGAGGAGAAGGAAAGGGGTGGAGGAGGAGGAGGAGGGGAGGGGGCTTGTCCCGTTCTCTTGTCCTTTTCGAAAATGTAGAGCTAAGATCGGGATTGTCGAGGATGCTGCGCGCCTTGTTTATCTGGCACCCGGGGGGAGGGAAGGGAAAGGAGGGAGGGAAGCGGGCAGGACTGGACTGGAGGAGCAGCTGCAGTGCAGTGTCAGGAGATGAGGAGAAGGGAGACAGGGGAACGAGGGGGGCGAGAGAGGGAAAAGAAAGGGGGAGAGGAGAGGAGGGGAAAGAATGAAAAGAGTGAGACAGGAGGAGGAGAGGACAGAGTGAGTGGGAGAGGAGAGGAGGGGAGAGAGTGAGTGGGAGAGGAGGGGAAAGAGAACGAGTGAGACAGAATCGGTGGGAAGGGAGGGAGGGAAGAAGGGAGGGGGAGAAGGAGGGAGCGAGCGGTGTAAATGGTGGGCGAGGGAGAGAGTGGGAGATGATTCACGCTGTTTCTGAGCCCCCTTCCGCCCCTGCCCGCCCTAGTGCCGCGCCTGACGCTGCGACTCAGCTGCCCGCCGCTGCCGGGCTCCCGTGCCCTCCCTCGCTGTCGGGCTCGTGTGCACGGGGGTGGAGAGGGGGATCGCTGCCGGGGTGGCGCGGCGCTGCTCGGCTCTATCCCCGGCACCGCGGGTGCCTGGCTGGGGGCTGGGGCCGCCACCTTCAGCTGCACCGCAGAAACCCTAAAGGCAGGCTAGGTCAGAACCATGGGAGGGGGCACAAGGACGGGGGCGTACGAGGGTGGGGTGGGGATGATGGGTTGGGGGGGATGATAAAACAGAAGGGCGGGGTTTCAATCGGAGACAAGCGGGAGACGAGGCCAATCGGAACAAAAGAGAGAGAGGCTGGGATTGAAGCGTCTCGCCAATGCCGGGCCGCCGCTGGCGGAGCCGTTGAGGGGAGGCGGGGGCGGTTTAACCTCCGCGGCGGGGGCGGCGGCGGGGCGGTGTGCGCGGGGGCCGGCTGCCGCCCCGGGAGGGTCCCCGCCGTGATGCGGCGTCACCTGGGTTACGCGCTGCGCCTCACAGGCCCGCAGCTGCGTGGGAGGAGGGCTGAGATCGCCCGAGGAGGCGGTGGGATAGCGGGGACATGTCCTCGCCGAGGCTGGCTGCACCACTCGCGCGGCGCGGCGCGGCGCGGCCGGGCCCTTCCTTCCTCCGTCCGCGCTCGGTCCCCGCCGCCACCGCGGGCGGGGGCAGCGCTGCCGCTCCGCGCCGGAGCCGTGGACGCGCCGGGCTGCATCGCGCAGGCTTGTAAAGAAATTAATAAAGATATTATTGTTACATTGTGACAGCCGGTCTAGCCAGAGCCGTGCGACACAAAGCCGCGTTGCTTACCTAAATATTTCGTAGAGAATTTAAAGACATTTCACTGCGGCGAAGGTTATTTCTGCTTACGAATCTCAAATTATTCAGGTGGAATATTAAAACGTTGTGAGATTCGGGGGGATGGGGAGGCATGGCTCAGGGAATTGTCTGTGCACCAGGAAAGCGTTTCTAGTATTTGACTCTGCTGTTTATTGACCCTTTTCCTTTGAAAAAAAAAAAGTCTCAAACTGCTGTAACTGTGACGGTAGTGGTCACTACTGGAGCATCAATTCCATACAAAGTTTAGGGACGTGTGTTTATTGCGTTACACCACGCTCTGTGCTAAATTCGTATTGATGTGTGTGTGTGCGCGGCATGGCTGCTGACTCGATTCCTCCTAATGCACGAGCTTAAAACCTGGCTGTTAGTGGATGAAATCCAATTTCCATTCTAAGCTCCCTGGGAGACAGCCTTAGTTTTAGTAATCACTTACCATTAATACTGCCCCAAACAATTTTTAATACTTAAAATACACACATCATATATAATATATAGCACATCACCTCTGCTGATAAATTACAAGTCAGATAGGTAATGCATTATTGGATATTAAACCATGCACATGCTAACATCTAAGCAGGCTCCTGCCCAAATGCATTCACAAATTAAAAACTCAATCCAGCACTGTACATAGGAAACTTCCAATGACTTCTTTGGGAATTGTGTCCCAGGAATGTGATATGTATCCTTCTTGCCAGCAGGTGAAATATATGCAGCAGATTCAGTAAAAATTTGATAGCATATATGGTCAGAAAAATGATTATATAAAAATGGAACTTTCTTACTCATCATATACCCCTTGTATCTAAGATACTCTGACTCATAATTGCTTAGTTTACTGACTGAAATAAAATTCTAGGCTTCTGTTACCTTGGCAGTTGCTGACACAATTATGGTACAGCAAACTGGGGACTGGTTCTAGCTTTTCCATTTTCTTTACTAAGTTACAGCCGAAGAATTTTATTAGTATTTGAGCTAGAAAGAGCATGGCATGGCTTGTAAATCTCTGGTCCAGTTTGTAAGGTCATCAGTCCTAAGAGGCCTCTTTTTATTTGTAAACCAAGCAAATGTCTTGCAGAAACTTTTGAAGACAAAAATAAAAACCACGATGTTTGAATTAAGCCATCTTGAGTCAATTTCCGCAGTGGAACTGGATAAATTATAACACTGCTCCCTTTATCTCACTGACTATGTCCTATTCATCTGTAGCAACACTGAAACAAACAATTCTCTAGTTTTTAGACCACATCTGTTTTACTGTGCCCCCTGCACCAATTTTAATTATGTGACAGATCTGATTGGATTCAGCACCTGCAAGTCCTCCCTTTGGGATCTCCAATTAGCTTATAAAGCATTTGCTTGATTGCGTTCTTGAAACAAAAGTATTGTTTCATCATAACAACAGAAATATTAAAAGTGTAGAATAAAAAAAGCTTTTAATGTGATGAGCGTCTGTGTTGTTTGTATATCTAGCTTCCATAAGCTTAGAGGAAAAAGTGGTAATCCTGAAACCTAATTTCCTCAGACTCAGCAGATGTCTGTCCTGTGTTAGCCTGTTTCTTTACTGACAGCTGTTTCACAAGTGCCTCCCCTCGTCTCTACAGAATGCCTTTTGTCTAATGATTTCCCTCTACATTATGTCCCATCCCACTTAGACAAGCTTTTTCAACTTTTCTAGTAGTTTTAGAAGGTTTTTTTTATAATTTCAAGAAAGGCTTGTTTTTGAATAAGTTAGCTTTAGCTGGGTAACTAGCCTCTCAGCTAGTTTCTTAGTAACAGTTCTACTTAACTAAGCAGATAGCTGCAAGTAATCAACATTTCAACAAATACCGATTTAGTATTAAGGAAAGTTTCAATTATTACAGCTATACTTCAGAATATGCACATTTTTCTCCTTATTTAATTGTTTGGAGCAGTGATAATGAAGGTCCAGGGGGGAATATCACATTAAGTGCAGCCCTCTAGTGGCAGAGGTCACTTGGAGTTTAAAGCAAGCTGGGTCTTTGTCATGGATTGGGGCAGTGAAAGAAACAGCTTTTAGCAAAATGCGGGCACCTGCCCTGCATTGTTCATGGTCTGAAGTATGAGTGAAAATAGTTATAATAGCCTGTGCTAATACCACCGTGCTCCCTCCTATTGTAATATCTGTGCAGAAAGTGCTGATGGAAAATATTAAAAAGTGTGTCTCAGTAGAGTTTTCCTCTTTTTCCAAGTCTGTAATCTGTTGTTCATCTTTTCTGTTTTCAGCCAGCTCCAGGCTGGCATACCTGACCATAGGTTTTTCAAAGAGCTGTGGGATCTTGTTTTCTTTCCTGTCTGTATCAGTCATATCCTACCACATAATGTATTCTGTAACTTCAGTAAGGGATTTTTCCGAGGTGACATGGTGTACAAATTCCATTTGCCAGCTTTATTTGTAAAATCATTCTCAGCTGGTGGATGGTAGTATTCAAATTAATCTCTCTCACAGACATGGAACCTATGCTTGGAATTGAAAGGGATTAGGAACTGGGAGAAATTAAGCATATATATTAACAAACAGAAACCTGCATAATAATTCAGGTGATGTTTTAGTAAACATCACTTAATCTGATAAAGTCTACTTTGTGGAACAAGATGCAATCCCCTGTTTCTTTTAGAGGTGATGGATAGTTCTCATCTGACTAACAGAATGAGGAGTTCATTTTTCCCCTTTTGGGAAATATGACAGAGTCTACTAATCATTAGATGAAAAATGATACCTCTTAAACATCCTGGCTAGGTAAAAGAAAACAGATTCTATCTTTGTCCAAAAGGACTGGCAGCTTTTCGTTACTGGATGGTTGCTGTGACTCCTGTAAACTTTGGCTTCACTAAAATTACAGTTAGTGATGAACTCAGAAGATTCTTCAACATCATCTTCTGTTTATGAAACTTTTTTCCTCCAACAACCTACCAGTTAAACTATGATTATTGTTGATTAGGTTATCCAATTGTTGCTTGTTTAAATACTGCAGAATTTGTTCATCAGTAAATATTTTTTTAATTGCAGTGGAAATTGTCCAAGATTCCAGCAATATTAACCAGAAAAAAATCAAACCCAGCATTTGGGAAAAAAGTTGAATGCATATTAGATAGAAAATGACCCAATTATATCTGGTTATCCACATTTACATTGCTTTCCTTATCTGCATTATGTTATATAGATTGCTGAACTAAAAGCCAAGTGTTAATAGTCATACTCTTCACTGAAAACACCATGGACAACTGCTAAACCTTTTCAAATTATAGATCATTGCTGTGTAGTAGCTTTCTTTTTCTGGGAAACTGAGGATGATAACATAAAGTCAGTGAAAATGTGACCATATTATTTAATGTGAATATATTAGCTAAAACTCTTTCTCTGGTGGTGGAAGAAGGAATTGTTTGTAGGAAATCAATGTCCATTTCTTCTCTCTCAGCAGAGAGGTCACCTGTCTCCTACTCTGACAAAGTTCATAAAAATTCACAGATTCTTTTTTTTTTTTTTTTTACTTTTCTTCAGGAATAAGGAATTGAATTGATCTGAGTCCTTCATTGCTGAATCTAGGGTTTACCTGGGTTATAAGGGTTTACCTGGGGACTTACCCAGATCTCACTGTAGAAAACAAGATAACCTCAAGACAAGATAATTTTCATCTCTCCCAAGGAACTGAGATTGTGGATCCAGATATCTGAAATTCCAATGGCTCAGCACTTACTGAAAAAAGTCATCCCCCTGGTGATCTTTATGTACAGTAATTTAAAGACCTTTCATTTCTCAGAATGAAAAAAAAATAAAGGCTAGATTTCAATTGCCTTCCAAAAATAATAGTGTCTTCTATTTTCTTTAGGTTGTGTTTTGGTTTTTTGTTTTGTTTTGGGTTTTTGTTTGTTTGTTTCGTTTTTTACTTGGTTTTGTTTGGGTTTGGTTTTTGGGCTTTTTTGTTTGGGTTTTTTTGTGTGTTATTTTGGTTTTGATAGAAAAATGGATATTCAGGGATTAAAACTGCTATAAACTATGAGTTAATTCCACTGTAATGAAACAATGTAATATCCTGTGTGAGAAATACAGGATCTCCTTGTGTAGCTTTGTCAGTTTACATGTTACTGATTGTGTACTTTTTGTTACTATCTTACAAAAAGGACACGGACAAAGTTTCTCGTCTACAAACTGAATTCAGCCAGCTGAATCCAGAGGCTTCAGTGTGCATTCCTTTAACAGTATGGCAAGCAGTGTATTTTTCAAGGAGTCAGCATACCTATTTCCAACCTGTCATTATAACTGCTCTAACAGTATTACTATTTTATGTGTCATTTTGCCCACCCACCACCAAGTCTTATTTATTTGAAATTTTGGCACTTTGTAGAAGTAAAGTAAGGAAAAAGATAAATTAACAGCAAAATTCGTTTCTTTGATTCTGTTGTCAAACTTGATCCCCTTTCTGGAATAATGTAGTCTTACAATATAGGCCCGTAATCATGGTTGATTTAGAATTTTGCTATAGTTCAACTCATGTATAAAAGTTATATTAGCAGTGAAGATCAGAAATCTTCCTGGAAAAGGAGTGGAAAGGGGAAAAGTAAACATGTTGCACAGTAGACAAAGGAAAACATAAGAAGACAATAATGACAAAGGCATTGTTTTTTCTTCTCTTGTAAGCAAAATTTATATTAAATTATGTAGTGAAATTTGAGTTGCTCTGATCTATTTGTTCACTAATAAAATGTATAGTACTTGAGATTATTAAAGACAACTATATCCTAGTAAAATGGTGTTAGTAAACTCTCCTACTGTTAACCATCAAGAAGCTCCACTTTGTCCTGTATAATTTATTATCAATTTTCCAAATAATAAGCTATTCCAGCTTTACAAGTTTTACAAGTATAATACTATTATAATGGTAGAAATTTTGCCAATGGAAAGGCAAGAAAAGTAGTGTCCATAGTATTATTGAAATGGAGACCTAGATGTCTTTAAAAACACTTTTAAAATGCTTGCTATTAAGAAATGTATATATTTATATACATACATATTACAAATTAAATCTTCAGCACAGCAAGATTTTAGGAAACGGTTATTACCTTTAAGAATACACTAGGAACTTTAAGATATTCCTTCCTGACATTTAGCAAATACCTTAGAATTTCTCCTTCAAGAAGTTATTTCGCTTCATCAACAAAGTTTAATGATTTCATTTTATTTCTACCCACTTGAAATTGAGTCCTACAAAATACCCCTTCTGGTGGGGGAGGGTAAGCAGCTAAAACTAACTGCCAGGATAAATTGGCCAGAATGAGTTGGCACATATCCTGAGTTTGCCATGAAAACATGTATCTGTGTGTCAGCTGCACACAAAGGCTATCTGGCCCCAGAAAAAGCACAGGGATTAGGCATAATGCTGCCTATTTGAGACAAAGGGTGTTCCTTAGTGCAGCGAGGGTAAAACAGACAGCTCATCAGTAGTACAAGTCTATCTGAATTATTTAGTTACCATTTTGAGCCAGAAGGAAATGGTGGCAGATTATTAATGACTTTTGGGGTCTATTCATCTCTTTATTTTGTTTCAGTGAAAGCAGTACTGGAAACATGAAAAGGTGCCAAAATTTGAGACCAGTTTTACTTTAATCACTTACAAGATATAGAATCACTTTCTTATTTCAATGCTAGTTGAAAAATAGAACAGATTTTGATTTATATTTCACTTACACTTATGAGGTGGCTATTTATGTTTGTAAGTGGGTGCATGACCAAAGTGAATGGAACAACTCATATGCTCTAGAAAATAGAAGTCCATGGATCTACTGGATGAAAACGGTTTTATTGATTTCAAAGGGGTTTAAGTCATTCAATACAAAGTACTTCAGGGAAAAATAGTGAAGAGAGTAAAGAAACTATATAAAAGATATTAACATAGACTGCAATGCATTCTCACAATGGGAGAGATTCTTGTCATATTCCAGTGACAGGAAATTTGAATTAATTTTGCATAGAAACATTTACGGATATGTAATAAGAATATATATATATATATAAAAGTATTTAGGAAGATATATTTTTTCATTTCTAATTAACTATATATGAACAAAATAACAGCTGATATATCATTTAAAATTTGGCAATTGCAAAAAATGAAGACTAAGGATGCAGTTTACAATAATTTAAAATCACAAGTTAAGGTGAAAGTCTTTACCTAGCCATGTGTTATGTTGATAATAAACAGATCCAAATAAGGTATTATAGAAATTCCATATTATATTTATATAAAAGCCTGATTATTTTTCCTGTGCATTTTTTTCAGAATATTTTTGTTGTAATATTTTAGCCAAGTAGGAGAACTCCCGATTCAAAATTTCTAAATATTTGTATTTTTATTTTCTTTCTTACTTTCATTTAAAGGTTCAGGTTGTTTCCTCTAGGACAGAAAACTCATATATTGAAACAGCAAAAGTAAAATTGCTGTAGAATGGAATCATTGCAAGTGAGATGACAAATAAAAAAATACAAATTACAAAAAAAACCAGAAATAGGATCATAGTGCATTAGCAACAATGCTTGCAGATTCATCATGGCTCACAACAAAGGTATTTATAAGTGGACCTCCTGCCTCTGTTGCATGCTGTCATTGCTTTGGATTGACTGCTGTTAGATCCCTGTAATCCTGAGCCCCGGGATCTTGTCCTACATGTTTACCCGACTTGGTATGCATGTCAGTACGTATTTAAAATGGAAATGAACTCTAATCTTTGTACGTGTTAATAGAAAAGGGTTTTAATCTCCTAAACCCCATATTTACTGTGATTTTGTTTTGCTGTTTGGATTTTTTAAAATAAAGTTTATAAAAAGCTGTGTTCGGAATTTCTGCTTCTATTTGTTAGTTTATCAACTTAAATTTGGTTAATATTTGGCATTTTTTATCTCAATAGTGTGTCATGGCAATAATATCATAGAATATATTCAAAGATGAGGAGAAGAATTGATTATCAACAACTACTGGTCTAAAAATCACATTTTAATAATGGAAAGTCTTGTCAACTTTCTTATCTGTAATGCATTTGTAAGAACATAATTTAATATTTTAGAAGATATATTGCAGGTATAGAAATAATATAAGATTGTCATTCACTTGTGAGATGTTGTCTTGTAGATGTTGTCAGGTAGATGTTATTTGGAGATTAAAACCTAAATGTTATCTAATTTAGAAAAGATTCATTAAAACTATCATGTCCTATTCCACTTGAAAATGCATTGTTGACAACAGATGAAAAATAATGCACTTCCTTTCAAAGTGGTAAAAAAAAGTCATCAATATAGTTATTTCCAGTCCTCACTCCTGTAAGAAAATTCATGTTTGCAGTTCTTGTACCCAAAGTGCATCTAGGGTCTGTGTGAAAATTACTGCTATTTCCACATTATGATTGTTATTAATAAATATTTGCATCATCCAGCTGGTCCTCCAAACTTGATTTCATGACCATTTCTCTGGGAACCCTTTTCCAGTGACTGACCAACATCTCAGTGAAGCACTTTTTTCTGATCTGGTTCTGGTCAGAACTTTCCCTGATGGAGCTTCATTCCATTTCCTCATGTCCTACCACCAATCACCAGAGAGAAGAGATCAGCACCTTCCCCTCTATTGCTCTTCTTGAGGAATTTGAAGACTGAGAGGAGATTTTCCCTCAGCCTTTTCTTCTCCAAGCTCCAACAAACCAAGTGACTCTGGCTGCTTCTCCCTGCCTTTCACCATCTTGGTCAAACTTTTCTGAATGCTCTCCAATAGTCTCATGGTCTTCTTATATTGACAATAATATAAATATGAAATCACCAGAGCAATTTGTACAGTGGTGTGATATGATAAGGACGCTTTTTCTTAAGAGCCTAATGGAACATGTAACTCCACCTGGATAGAACCTTATTCCTCGCATAAATTTATTGACATCAGTAGGCTGTTATTAGGGAAATGGATCTTCCACTTGAGAAAATGAGTTTTAAATTTATAAAACTTTTAAATTTTGTCTAATAAATGTAGTTTCAGCACATTCCTGTCTGTTTTATTGATTTTGAGATTCCTTTTGGAACTAAAGTTGATGTAACGAATATATCAGCCAACTCAGTCGAAACCCCCACTTTTAATATCTATCATCTAGTGTGTAAGGTTATTTCCCAAGTTAAAGTAACAAACTGATAAACTAATAATGCATTAGACATAGAAAGAGTGCACAAAAGATTATATTGATTTCATTAAAACTTATGATCCTAATCTAACATCATACAAAATCAGTAAAGCTATTTTTTTAAGCAAAACATGCACGTATTGAAATTCTTAGAGGAAAAATATCTTTGCTTAGTTCCACATATTTTTAATTTTAAAGTAAATGTGTTAACAGAAATGGAACAGTAATTTAAAAGTTTAGCTAAGTTTAAATAGCAATAGAATAGTCATTCCAGCATGCTGTACTATTTAATATTAATTCCTTCTGCCTATCCCGTAAGTTAACTTACTGTGCTCCCTTAAGAACATATTATAAAGATGAAACATTTAGTACAACTTTTAACAGTTTAAGAATACAATAGAAGATGATGATTCTAGGAAATTAATATGTTAAGGATTTTTATCAATTTTTAGTATCTAACTGTAGTAGTTACAATTTAGGCAGTAGCCACATATGGTTCAACCAAATTCAAAGATATTTTTCTATATCAAACCCTGAATGCTTTTGTTCAGTTATGCAAATGCTCATTCACTTGAGCACTCTTTATTCATATATGTGATCATATTCACCACATTTTTTTACAATTAATCAAAACACTGAAGTGT